AAAAAAAAAAAAAGAAAGAAAAAATAATATTCCAGAAGAAAATACCCACATATAAAAATTGAAACTATGCCAAATGGATCTGATCCTCATCTATCCTATCACACGGACCCTAATAAAAGAAATGAAGAAAAATACAGTCATTAAGTCTCTCAGGCCCCACAACAGCCAACTCTGCCTGGCTGACTTCTGTAGCCATGATTGGAGGTGCCATACCCAGTGGCTCACAGGTAGAGGAGCAAACTACCAGAAAATCAAAAGTGATTTTCTTAATCCCCAAATTAAAAGCACAACACTCTTATCTTTGTCTAGAAGCCAGAGGGCATTAAGAGAAGAGACTGTGGTATCCCCACATGCAGGTCACTGCCACATCCCAGCCACACCAACACCTCTGAGTTATAATGCTATGACTTGGACCCCTCTGAAATATCCCTTTGATGCAAACTGTTTGCACAGGAAGAAAATCAGATAACGAAGATTAGCTAGAACAAAGATTAGCCTGGCCTGTTAGGAAAGTCATGCAGACATATACAACTTTCAGATAATACTCCATAGCACTTAAACCAGCAAAGATAAAAATTTAAAAAGCTGTGGGCAAACAAGCATTTATATATATATATATACATATATATGTATATATATATATAGTTTTCAAAATCAAAAATCAAAATCTCCGCATCAGGCTCCCTGCTCAGCAGAGAGCCTCTGCTGTCCACCCCCCCACCCACTGCTTGTGCTCTCTCTCTCTCCATCAAATAAATAAATAAAATCTTAAAAAAAAAAGATCATTTAAGCCTAGATGGTAGAATGCCAAAGAAGGAAGAGACCTTTAGGATTAACATGTCCAACCCTCTCATTTCCCAGATGAAGAAGAAACTGGAACTCATATTGTCAAATGACACACAGCCACTAGACACAGAGCTATAAGACACTCTGATTATCTGCTCTTCTAGATGCACTGAATATAATTCAAAAAGGGTTTTCACAGCCGTTATTTTCTTTGACCCTCACCAAATCCAGATGTTTCCACAGATGAGAAAAGGAAGGCTCAAAGGGTTTGGATTTGCCTACGTCACCTGGCTCCAAATCCCAAACCCCATACCCCTTTCACCAGCGGGCACTGTTGCCCAAACCACTCCTGACAACCCAGGCAGTGGGTTCCCCAGCTTCAAGCACACAGCCTGTCAAACACTAAGCACTCAAAAATTAGATGAGTGAATACCTCAGATTTGGAGAAAGCTAAGCAAATTGTGAATGATCAACAGAATATGACAAATCTTTTAAAAAGGAAGATGTTGATAAGCTGAAATCCACATTAGATGAGAATGCTGAACCTCCCAGAAGAAAGCCACAAAGATCCTAGACCTCAGAGACAGGTCTCCATCATTTTGGCCTCAATTACCCAGAGCTGCCTCACCTGATCATCCTACCGCCAATCACTTCCTATCTCTCCTCAGCAGGTCTCAGAAATCCACAAGGCTCCCTACCGCCCACAACACCAAATCCAAACTTTGTACCCCGGCCTTCAAGGCCCTACCAGCTGACTGATTCTGCCGTTTCCTGAATTACTCACTGACCCTGTCCTTTTCTGAACTCCTCCCCTCCACCCCACAGAACCCACAGAACCCCATTTCCTTTATGCTACCATATCTAGCCTTGGCTCCTCCTGGCTCCAGGTGAATATTGATCCCTTACCCCACTCATCAACCCCAGGTAAAAAGGGCAACGGCTTTTTTTTTTCTTTTAATGAAAGTGGACTTAAATGACATTCATTTGAACCTATGTGATAATCAAGTTCACCAGAAACAGGCACAATGAACAGGGAGCCCCATCGGTGGCAGCCTCTAATTTGGGTAAGCAGGAGTTGCCTTATGCAACCTATCCAGTCCCTTTTCTGGCCTGACGGGCCTTGAGTCCTGAGGCTTTTCCTAAAATGGCCCACTGAAGGCAACCAGGTGAGTCTAGGGGCTGACGCCACACCTACCTGTGCTTCCCATCCAGACCCCACCCCAGATCTGTCCCAGGAGTCAGGACCCCAGCTTCATTATCAGGCAAGTACCTTCTCTCAGGAACCCAGTTTTTTCATATGTGAAAAGCGGAGAAGGGGGTAGCAAACCTGAAGAGAAAAATGACATAAGAATATCTTCCCAGTTATTAAAGGCTTTCCCATAAAGGTACCAAGAATATCCAAAACCCCTTGTGCTGGGACACTGCAAATTGTCACAACACAGATAGCTTGGCCATCCCCTAGGTTAGTGTGCGCAGACTTACCCCATTACAACACCCTGCTGTACGGAGGTCCCAGAGGTGCTGTAAGAAGTCAGTGCCTGGTCAGGGGTATGTAGTTGTCTGCAATCTTCCACCAGAATGAACAATGCTGCAAAGAACAATCTTGTATAAGCATTTATCATTGTTCTGCGATTATTTCTCATGGTAGATTCCTGGAAGTGGACTTACTGGCTGAGAGGATGCATGCATTTTAAATTCTGATACTTACTAGTTGAAAAACTTTACATGGTGGGTGCCTGAGTGGCTCAGTTAGTTGAGCGAGCCTTTGGCTCAGGTCAGGATCCTGGAGTCCCAGGATTGAGTCCCGGGACTCCAGGTTCAGCAGGGAGTCTGATTCTCCCTCTGACCCTCCCCCCTCTCATGTTCTCTTTCTCTCTCTCAAATAAATAAATAAATAAATCTTTTTAAAAAAAAAGAAAAAAGAAAAACTTTACATGGCAATTCTCATAGTCCACTGGTATTTAGGCTTTACCTGGGGAATCTGTTTACAATGTGCAATCCTGACACACTCCCAAGCCTCCTTTTACAACGCAGCCCTTCCCCTCCCCCTCCAGGAAGTCTGGGGAGGGGCTTCTGAAGCTGCTTTGTTATCCAGCTCCCAGGTGGCCCAGCGGTGAGAGGAGGGAGCTGGTGACTTCTATTTGCCCTGGAGCACCTCACCTAGCACAAACCTCGGAAGCCCTGGTGCGGGGGCGGCACAATTTGCAGGGAGGTCTCTGGGCTGTAGCCCAGGTCCCCAGTGGCTTCCCCCAAATGGCAGAGTATAGCTCTCATGCACTGGACCAGAATGCCTGGCACTGAGTGTTGGGGACAGAGTCGTATCTCCAGACTCACCTGGATGCACCCGTTTCCCCTTCCAGACTCCCCCCTTCCTGAAGGTCCTTGCCCCACACATATCTTTGAGCCTAGTGACTAGGACCCAGGAGTTTTACATTTACCCTAAGACTCCCCAAGCCTCCCTTCTCTAAGACAGAGCACCACTTCCCCAAGACATCATTTGGGGCCTCCACACTGGGCCTCAGTATCCGCATCTGTGAAATGGTGGGCGTTGGGCAGTGGCACTGACATTTTGGGTGCTGCTGTGAGGAGGATAGTGTGGCCAACTAGGTTCTAGGCAGTTGCAGGGAAGTCTGGCTTCAATCGGGAGCCCAGGTGCACCCTCACGATCATTTAATCAGCATTCTGATTGGCTTAAGGCCTGTTTGGAAAAAAACTCGATTTTTATTTTCAGATTTCTCCACTGCTGAAGCGCAATTAGGACCAAAAGCCTTTTCAAGGCTGCTCAAGGGTCCTAGATAGCTGGGCCCGGATGAGGCACCAGAGGCCCAGAAAAAGCCTCGGCCGGTTTTCGGCTGTGTGCTGCTGCGCTCTGGGGAACACAAAGTCTGGTGGGGAAGCCGAGGGGGGCTGGTCACCAGGTACTTCACATTGTGGCACAGAGCACAGGGCAGGGACGAGAGTGCTGGCACGTCTGGCGAAGACCGAAGGAAACATCCTGGAGTTGAGTGTGATGAGCCTCCAGAGACAGGCTCTGGGCGTTTCTAGTCAGGTGGTCGGCCTCAGTGCGGTGAGGTCTGGGCTCCACTGGCGGACCCACCTGGGCTGAACGACACTGGTTGGCTGGGTGACAAGAAGCAAGTCTAGAGCCTCTGCGGCTCATGGGTAAACCAGGAGCGGATATGTAACAGCACCAAGCCCATAACCCAAGGACTGGATGGGATGGTACGCACCAAGGGCCCCGCTCCGCGTCGCTGTGTGATAAACATTCCTCAAGCCCTGTTTTTACCTCTGGCCGCCACTTGTGTTCTAGACCCAGGAGCTGCGTGCTTTGGGGTTGTGTCCGAAGCAGCCTTCTACCCGACTCTAGCGGCCGTTGAGGGCAGAAGAGGCGTCGCATTCAGAACCCGGTCCTCACCAGCTGGGGTAAATCCCCGGGCTAACTGGGCCTCAGTTTCCTCTTGGTGCAATGGGAACCATCATACCGCCGGCGGGAAATCTGGTGGAGGCAGCGGTCTCACAAACGTTAGTCTGCATTATTTCTCCCCTCGGTAACGGCCCCCACTCCCGGCGTGGAGCACACAGTAGGCGCTCCGGAAACGCTCTCCGAGAGGAGGAACGGGCCACTTCCTGCCCCCAAGCAGACTCTCCCGAGTCTGGGTTCCCCACCACTCCTCTTCGGAGGCCATGTGGCATTCCTGAGGGTGGGGGTGGGCGCAGGAAGAAGGTGCCCTCCCGGCCCCGCCCCCTCCGGGCGCGGTGGGCGGGACGAAGCCCCCGGCCGCCGTCGGCCCGCCCCGCGGGGGGTGGGCGTAGCTCGCCGCGCTCCGCACAAAGTTTGTTTTCTCCCTCCGGGCGGGTGGGGGAGGGCGAGGAAAGCGCGGGGGGGAGGAGAGGGGATCTGACGTCAGGCCGCGAGGTGCTTTCCAGCCGCGAGCTGTCAGGCCGAGTGTCAGGCCCGGCAGGTACGCGCCGCGCTCCCCCGGCGCCCCCCGCCCCCTGCCGGGACGCCCGGGACCGAGCCAGGGGCCGCGTGGACGGAAAATCCGCTCGGAAAAGTCAGTGCGGGGCTCAGAAGTGGGACAGAGGCGGGCGGGGGGCGCGCGGACAACTTGGAAAGTTTCTTTTTCTGGGCCGGGCGGGGGAGGGGGCGTCGTCCTGGCGCGTGCGATTGTGGGTGTGTGAGCTCTGGTGTTTGTGAGCCGCGACTCCTGGGGGCGGGCGGGGGCCGGTGGGGGGAATGTCCCACCGCCCCCCCAGTTGAAAGCTCTCTCGGGGCCCTTCTGGGGGGCCCATCTCCCTACGATCCTAGCCCGTGAGAGGGCCGCCCCTGCCCCAGGCCGGGGTGAGCGCGCGGGGGGCGGGTTTGTTTGGTTTAAAAAAGTGCACGTTGCTAACCGCCAGCGGCCTCGCCCCCCCGCCCCCCCCCCGCCGCGGCCGAGCCGAGGAGTGGGCCGCCGAGAGTGACAGCTGCGGGTGGGGGCAGCGGGAAGGGCCCGGGGCTGGGGAGCCCGCGCGAGTTCCCCTTTCCTTTGGAACAAAGGAAAGTCTGTCTCGGAGGCATCTGTCACTCCCAGGCTGGCCAAGGAAGCGGGGCGCGTGGGGCCGGCCACCCGAAGAAAGTTTGTGCGCGCCGGGACCCTCAGGCAGGCCGAGCATGAGCCGAGCCTCCCGCGGGGGAAGCGCGCAGTCTCCGGGGTAGGGGGCGGCCAACATGGAGTCTGGGCGCAGGGCTTGGTGGGGGGGGCGGTGCGGAGGTGGGAGCCCAGCCCCCTCCCCTCCCCCTCCGGGCCGAGTTCGGAGCACAAAGCCGAGCGCGCAGGCTCGGCCAGCCCCGCGCCCCGAAGAGTCAGCCAGCGCCAAGCGGCGGGGGAAGGGGGTGGGAACCAAACTTTTTCCTGCCCCGGGACAGACACGTGAGTTTTCTTTCTTCCAGAGCCCCCGCCCCACCCGCACTGCAGGCTGGCGGGGGAGCAGGGGCGCCGAGTCTGGCGCGGGGTAGGGGACTGAGGGGTGCGGGCGCCCCGAGCGCAGGCCGATTCCCCGCCGCCCCGGGAGCCATGTGCTCCGACTAGGTCTGGGCCGCGGGGGAGGCTGCGCGCTTTGTGTGAACTGCTGGGAATGCACCGTGAGTGCGCGGCCCGGGGGAGTATCGGGAGGAGCTGGGGGAGTTGTCAGAAAGTTCGTGCGGGAGTGGCTGCACGTCGGCGTCGTGGAGTGTGTAGCAGGGTGCACCGGGTGTCGTGTCGTGAGGGTGCTGCCACAGGCCAGTTGGGATAAGAATTGATCGCTGGTGTGATGACGTTTGGAGTTTCCTCAGTCTGAGAGATCGCGGGTGGGCGGGCCGGTTGGAGTTTGTGGGTAGGCGTATATCCAGGAATTGGGCTGGTTTCGTGGGTACCAGTTGTTCGTGCTAGACGTGGGATCTGTAAGCTGTGCGTGTGCTGTGTTTGTCGGTGAAAACCATGGTGGTTCCAGGAGCTAAGCGATGGGTTGGTGCCTGTTATCTGAGCACTGTTACAGAGTTGCCTGGTGGTGAGGGCGTGTGTGTGTCTGTCAGTCTGTGTCTGGGTGTGAGTGTGGGGTGTGTATGTGGGAAACCTCCCCTGTTGTAAGCTGGCTGGAGTGCAGGACACCATGGAGGAGAGAGGTCTGTGGAGGCTGAGGGGTCATCTCCATGGGCCACCTCAGGAACCCTGCAGCCTGGGACTTGGCTGGCAGCCAGGGTGGAGTTTTAACAGATAACCCTGAGTAAACTTTTCATAGCCTGCCAGCCCAGATCCCAACTGCCCTGGCCAGCTAAGCCCCAGAAACCTGACCTCAGAAAGCAGCCTGCTGTTGGTGTTCTCTGAGGAGTGGCACCTCTAACCAAGGCCTGTCTCACCTCCAGGTGGCCTGGCTGGGAGGGTGAGACCCTTCCCTCGAAAGCCTGGCCCAGCCAGCCCAGATATCTGGGCTCAGACCCAAGTCGAGGAAACAAAACCTGGGAGATGCCAGAGTCTCTTGGCCCAGCCTGCTGGGTAGCTGTTAAAAGGCTGAGGAGGGAGGAGCCTTGAGATTCTGGCATTAGCTTGCCCTGGAACTTTTGGTTTTAAAATGTAAATCTCTTTTGCATGTGTGAACCAGAAGTTTGTCAGGGGGATGAGCAACTGAGTTGGGTTGTCTAGGGAAACCCCTTCCTTCGTTTGACAGGTGAGGAGGGGGCTCAAGCCCAGAAAGGAAAGCGCACACTTGCCAAAGTCACACAGCCAAGATGAGAGAACCAGAGCCCAGCCTTGCTCATTTATCTGGATTTTTGAGGAATTGGTTCATGGACCAGGGGCTAGATGACAAAAAAGAATGTCTGAGACAACCAATAGGGATGACTCAACACTCTCTGCAGGGCACAGTAGGCACAGTAAATGTTACACAGATTGCTGGAGGACCATGGTGATTAATAGACTTCCCAGACCTGGGAGGCAAGATGCAATAGAGTTTGGTGGGGCTGGGGGAAGTTGGTTGTTGGCGGTGGCAAACCTTGGTCCAAACCTTGTTTCCATACCCTATCCTGGAGGTGAAATTTTTTTTTTCATAACAGCTTTATTGAGATGTAGCTCACATATCATACAACTTACCCATTTAAAGCAAACAAATGAGTGGTTTTAGTATTTTCACAACTATGTAACCACCACCACAGTCAATTTTAGAACATTTTTATCACCTCAGAAAGAAACTCCATACCCTTTAGCGTCATCCTTCTATTCCCCCCTCAGCCCAATCTAAATATTTCATTAAAACGGAATCATACGTGTTTTTTGTGACCTTCTTTTACTTAGCATATTTTCAAGGTTCATCCACAGTGTAGCATGGATCAGGACTTAGCTCCTTTTTATGGCCAAATAATATTCCACCATATGGATGGACTACATTTTGTTTATCCATTCCTCCACTGATGGACGCTTGGGTTGTTTCCACCTTTTGGCTATTACGAATAATGTCGCTCTAAACATTTGTGTTCAAGGTTTTTTGTGAACACAGGTTTTCATTTCTCTTTGGTAGATGTCTAGGAGTGAAATTACTGGGTCACATGGTAACTGTCTAAATTAGGTGGCTTTCTCTCTGGGCCTTGATTTTCTCATCTATACAATGATGGTAATAGTAGTATCTGTCTTACAAGGACTTTGTGAGGATCAAATGAGATAGGAAGCGTGAAGTGCTCGGTACAGAGCATGGAAAACAGACCCCAGTGGTAGCTATGATTCTCTCTAGCCTGGTACTGCTTATTAATGAGCTGCCATTTATGTCAGTAGTCTTCTACTGGCTGACCGCATAAAATAAAGGCATCTCAAACTCTTCCCTTCTAGGTTGCCCAGGCTAAGATATGGCCTGAGACTTTGCTATTCCTCCATTTTGGTGTCCCAGGCTCTAATAATGGTGTGTTTGGAGACAAGGAAAGGGTGAGAGGCAGTGCGTGGTAATAATGTCCCCATCCCCTTTGTCACTTGTTCCAGGCTTGCCCAAGGTCCAGCCTAGCCCCTAGACACCATGTCAGACAGTGACCTGGGTGAGGATGAAGGCCTCCTCTCCCTCGCAGGCAAGAGGAAGCGCCGAGGCAACCTGCCCAAAGAATCGGTGAAGATCCTCCGGGACTGGCTGTACTTGCACCGCTACAACGCATACCCCTCGGAACAGGAGAAGCTGAGCCTTTCCGGGCAGACCAACCTGTCAGTGCTGCAGGTAAGGAGCCAGTAGCAGGGGGCCTGGCTTCTATGCCTGTCTGAGCCCTGTCACTGATACACTCTGTGGCCACATGAGAACAGCCACTCCCTGCCTCAAGGGAAGACAACGATGTGAGGTCACTGCAACTAGATTGGGGAGACTTCTGAAGAGGCAGTTCATGTCTTGGTGTCGTTAACAATGGAGGCCACGGGAAGGCAAGAAAGCATTGAGTGTTTGGAATTCAGCCCCCAGCCCCAGAGCAGTGTCTGGAGAGTGACTTGGTTGCAGAAGGGCAGCTGGTGGTCTGCAGTGTAGTTAGAAAAATGAGTTGGGATCATGGCCAAGGAAAGGGCAGAATTCAGAGGTTCTGGGTTCAAAACCCAGTTCTGCCACATAGGAGCAATGGACTACACCTTCATTTCTCCACCTGTAAAGTGGGGGGTTCGAATCCTCCCCTGCCTGACTGAATTGTTGTTAAGGAGCAGATTCTGAACTGGATGTGAAAGTGTTTTGGGGGCACCTGGCTGGCTCAGTCAGTGGAGCATGTGACTCTTGATCTTGGGGTTGTGAATTCACATCCTATATTGGGTGTAGAGATTACTTAAAAATAAAATCTTAAAAAAAAGAAAAAGAAAAGATGGGGTGCCTGGGTGGCTCAGTTGGTTGAGCGTCTGACTCTTGATTTAGGCTCAGGTCATGATCTCAGGATCCTGGGATCGAGCCCCACATCAGGCTCCACGCTCAGCATGGAATCTGCTTGTCCCTCTCCCTCCTCTGTCCCATGCCCACACCCCCACCCCCGCACTCTCTCTAAAAATAAGTATTTTTTAAAAAGAAAGTGCTTTGTAAACCATGCACATGAGCATACCTGAAGATCTCTTGTCCACTTTTTGTCAGAGCACAAGGTATTATCTCCTTTGAACTGCCCCAACTGCTGACCTATAGGTGTTTTTGTTCTCTTTTCATGGTGCTAGGCAGGACACCCTGGACTACCAATGACTTGCCTCCAATTTGGCTCTCATCTACCTGGGAGACACAGAGCAGGCCCCCAGCCTAGCAAAGGCCTATCCCCTGCCCCACAAGCTCCCAGTGCTCCCTTCATGAGCCAGCTAAGCCTCTACCCGAAGTCCCTCTGCCACCGGTTCCAGCTCTGTCTTTTCCTAGCCTTTAATAGATTCCTTATTTCAGTCTATGGTGCTAACTCTCCCTCCTTCCCTTACCCCACCTGGAACCTCCCTTGTCTTCCCAGCTCCCATCCCTCTTCCACAATGCCTCACTTTCAGCCCTCAGAACTCCTGTCACCTGACTTTATACTTGCTGGGCAGTGGTTAATGGGAGTCTTGTCTGCGAGAAAGGCTCTAGAGTTACAGAACCTGACTCTGATCCCATCTTCTCCACAAGAAGAAGCCTGGACATTGGCCAGGTCCACTGCCTCTCCCTGAGCCTCGTGTTTCCTCGTCTGAAAAAGGGAAATGAATGTGGTACTTTCATAGCATGTAAGGAGGAGGGATGGAGAAGAAAGATTCAAGGCTCACGGCGAGGTGAGCACAGAGTGGGTGTTTTCTGCTCTTGTCATCCTCATCTCTCCTAGAGCATAGGTCTTGGACCCCGGGTGTCTAGCAGTGTCTAGCATCTCACAGTGTACCAAGCGCTCCCAGCTAGAGTTGAGGTCCCAGAGAAGAACCAGACACATTCCTACCTTCAAGGTGTCTAGTCCAGGATGGGAAAGCAGGGAAGACCTAGCCATTAGTGTTTGTAAAAAGTAATCACTTGCTGGGACAGAAGGCAGCAGAGACGCAGGCAGGGTTTCTAAGCCAGCCTGGAGCCTCAACAGGCCTCCCAGAAGAGGTGGACTTGAACTCATAGGATGCAGAACAACACAAGCCAAAGGCTTAAGCCTGAGAACCAGGATCACCTAGATGGGCTTTTTGCTGGTCTTCTGCCTCCCGCCTTTTTCCCTCAAGTCCATTCTATCCTCTTGCTCTTTTTTTTTTTTAAATGGGCTTTATTAAGCAGTTCATGAATTGGACAGCATCCCATCTAACTCTGCTCCCTCAGTCCATTCTCTTGAACACAAAAGTACAAATCTGGTGGTGTTACACACTCCATGGACCCCACTGTCCTCTGCATAGGGTCCCAACTTAGGAGCTTAGCAGCCTCATCTCTCAGTTCTTCCTGTCCCCAAGGCTTGTGAACCTTCGGACCTTCTCCCTGGGCTTCTCCCTGACTTTTCTGAACCTGGCTCACTCCATGAGAGCATTCTTGGACTAGGTTTGAGGCCACTACTCTGTGTTCCTGGTGCACCTCCTTCCTGTGCTGCCACACTGTATTGAAATTGCTTTTTGTCAGGGAACTGTTTCTTAGAACTGAGTAATGTGCCAATTTCTCTTATTTTTCTTTTTTTGTTTTTTTTTTTTAAAAATTTTTTTATTTATTTATTTGAGAGAGAGAATGAGAGACAGCATGAGAGGGAAGAGGGTCAGAGGGAGAAGCAGACCCCCCCGCTGAGCAGGGAGCCCGATGTGGGACTCGATCCCAGGACTCCAGGATCATGACCTGAGCCGAAGGCAGTTGCTTAACCAACTGAGCCACCCAGGCGCCCTAATTTCTCTTATTTTTCATGGGCCCGCCTCCTCTCCAGCATGTTGACTTGAAATATTTTTATCATCACGTCACTTAAGGACATGTAAACATAAAACTGGGTTAAAAAAACAACTTGCTTTTGCTCTTATAAATTGTAAAATAACCAGTTTTCCAAAGTAAATGTAAAATCAATGAGATTCCATCTAACTGCATTAATATAAAATGGTGGATGGGGATGATGCTTTGCTGACTGGGCTGTGGTGTGTAGTATGACAAAGGCACTGACTCTGGAGTTGAGCAAGTCTGGATTGCCAGAGGCCACTGTGCTCCTACTCAAGATCAGAATGGAAACATAAAGCTAAAACATTCTTCTGAGAACTAGTGGACCCCTAGGATGATATATCCCTGATTCCACTTAGAGAAATGTTGGTCTGGAGCAAAGATTTGTTGCTGGAGACTTCTGAGGAAGGGCCAGCTGGATCCTGGCGTGCCCTGATGGGAAGGGTTCTGGTGTTGGCTGCCGTGCTCTAGAGTCATGCTGAGAGTTAACGAGCAGTGGGGACCATGTGGCCCTGGGTGGAAACTATTCCATGAATCCCACATGGCCTCCAACCATCTACCTCTGCTTGGAGGTCTCACAGGCACCTCAGATTTCTCAATTGGTAATGGATAACTTCTCCAAGCTGGCTCCTTCCCTTTCTAAGGGGTGCCCCTTGATTGCCCTTTCTCAGCTCATTTGATCAGTTACCAATTCCTATGCATTCACCCCTTAAATATTTCTGGAATATGGCTTTCCTACCCTGATCCAACCTATCATTGTCTTACCACTTGTTACTCCACTATTAAAAACCCTTCAATGACTCCTGCCAACCTAATGACAATATCACCTGTCCCTATCTGCAGAGTGGGCCTCATCCCTGCCCCCTCCCCCATACTCATGCCACACTAATCAGTACCCCAGACCACTTCACTCCCACTCTTGACCAGGGAGACCCTCCACCCTCAGAGGAACTGTGTGCTCCCACAGTACCAGGGCTGGGTCAGCATTTGGACAATGGACTGTAGCTGCTTTTTAGAACACACTGAACTCCAGAAGCCGAGGCTTACTTACCACTATATGCCAAGTGTTTAGCTCAATGCCTGGTATCTGGTAGGTGCTCAGTAAATAATTGCTGAATTGATAGAAAATGAGGAAGTGTGGGAAATGTCAACAGGCAGGACCTCTAAAGAAAGGTAGTAGCTCCTCAGTCTGGAAGAATTGGCCTAAGTCCCTGGAGGCATCTCTCTTTCCTGTAATTTTTAAAATTTCACTGTTTAAGAACTTTTGCAAATATCCACAAAAGAGAATGTTATAATGCACTCCTGGAACCAATCACCTGGCTTCATCACGCATCAGCGTTTTGCCAAGCTTGTTTTCTCTCTCCCTGGGGACAGCTCCTTTGATTGTCTCCTTTAACTGGCCCAAGAGCAATCTCATTAGCAAGTCAATGAGTCATTTAACTAACTGGTTTGCTGGTACTCGCCTGGGGCTAGGCAGTCAGGAGGGTAAGACCAAAAAAAGTCGTTTGTGAAGGGTTTTCACAGGTCCTTGTGACACCCTTTGAGCCCACTTTATTGCTGTGGTTTTTAACTGTTCTAAAGGGCTGGCTGCCTGTTGGGGAGGGAAGGTAAGCGTGGCAGGGAGGGTTCGGGCCCCATTCTTTCACTCTCATACTGATTGGGGGTGTGCGCTGTGCCAGGCCCGGTGCTATATGCTGGAAACACAGCGGTAGAACAGGCACTATCCCTGCCTTCTGGGTAGCATCCTGTAGGGAGGGAAGACAATATTTAATGGACTAAGAATTCAATGTAGTTAATTACCAATGTGGGGTCATTTGAGCTCCCCATTCCTTCAACTCCTTTAGGACTCCATTCAAATGCAGTTACCTGAGAGAAGACTTTCCCAAAGTGGGACGGGGATGGGGGTGAGCGGGTTAAACCATTGGTTCCTAAGTCTGGGCAGCAGAATTTGTGAGCTTGTTTAAAAACACGCATTTCTGACTCCACCCCACCCCACTCCCACTGGATCTATAGAGCAGATGAGAGAGTTTTTTGGGTTTTTTTTTAAAGATTTTTTATTTGTACGCAATCACACCCAACACCGGGCTCGAACCCACAACCCTGAGATCAAGAGTTGCACGCTCCACTGACTGAGCCAGCCAAGCACCCCCAAGAGATAACTATATTTTTTTAAGTCACCGTCAAGGTGATTCTAATACAGCCAGCTGCTTTTGAGAGCACCTGGGTATGGGTGGTCACAACACAAGTGGAGGTCCAGTGATGTTTGAGAAAGGTCTTTCCGTGCCTTCACTTCGCTCCCTTCTTTTGCTTCTGTCTTTCACAGCTGAAAGACAAAATTAAAGCACGTGTGGGTCAGCCTTCTTCAAAGGCCCTTCTCTGATCCTCCTGGCCTTCATCAGCTTCCTGGTGCCCCTCCCACGCCCGTTTGCCACAGCAATTCCTCCCACATTCTTCATCTCAGCCACTGATAAAAAGTACTGGCCGGACAGCAGCCTCTCACATAGGGCCATTTTGTGGTAGAGACAGGCTTTCAGGCACCCAGCCTGTGTTGTGCCATATCAATCACAGAATTCACCTTGGCATTCTCCCCACCACCTCCCCAAGGACCTTGAGTGGGGGCAGATCACATGCCCTTTTCCTGACTCGGACATGGGGTGGGCAGCTGAAGGGGCTACAGAAATTCCTGACTGCCTGATACCACAGCTGGCCCTAGTGGCGCACGCAGGCCTCCCGCCCTTGCCTGGCCCCCCTCAGCTGTGCATTTCTAGCAGACGAGAAGACAAAACAGACGGTAGGCTGCCAGATTTTCTGTGGACCAGGGTGAGCATGTGGGAGAATATATATTCTGTGTGTGGGGAGGGTGTTTTTCTGCTCTGCTCTTCCCAGAATTCTAAGCCAAAATGGGAGGTGCAGCTAGGGGCTAGGTGCCCACACAGCTGCTAATAAACGCCTAGGGTCCCCTCCCCAAGCCTGCTTTCTCAACAGAAATCCTCATCCCTACTTCACTTGAACCAGGTCACTGTGACCTGACAGTTTGCCCTGCACACAGGGCTAAGGTGAGCAGGCACAGTGTTCTCTGGTAGCACAGGTAGCTGGTGAGGCAGCTGCAGGATGCAGGAGTGGAAGCATCCGAACAAGCAGAAAAGGCTTCAGTCTTTTCACCTGGCAGTGGGGGTTGCCTGGAACAGAGCCCAGCCTTTGAACTGGTGACCTTGAGCAAGTTACTGAGCGCTCTGATCAGGGCCTCTGTTTCGTCACCGGTTCAAATAAAGTGATCATCACAGTACCTGTCTCAAGTTATTGAAGATTAAATAATTAGATGGGAAACGTTCAGAACAGCACCTGGTATGCTTTGTGTTCAACAAGTATTCACTTTTAGGATTATGGTCATGATTATTCAGTTGTCAGTTCCACCTCTGTGCTAAGACACAGCAAAGCACAGTAAGAACAGCAGTAGGGGCCCTCAAGCCAGGGGACCTGGGTTTGGATCCCAGCTCTACACTCGGAGCCTGTGTGACTTTGGGCACATTCTTTCATCCTTTTTAAGAGTTCAGTTCCCTCCTTAGTACTTTGGGGACACTGCTCACAACCTTTCAGGCTTGTATACAGATGAAACAAAATGCGAGTGAGGTGGCTGGCATAGTACTTAGTATCAGAAGTGCTGAGTCCCTTTCCTTTGCCTCAGCTGTTCAGCCCTACCTCTCTCTGGGGCTCCCCTGCAACCTTAGCCAGTATTCAGCTTAGCCAGTGTCTGCTGATGCCTGCTGGTGTGTGTGTGTGGTTGTACTGGAAAGACCCTAGAGATGAAGAGGAATAAACGAGAACCTCTGGAATGGAGAGGAAGAGAAGCCACAAGAAGGCTCAGGCTCTGCCCTGAACAGGAGCTTTCACAGCCTGCTGAGCAAGGAGCCAGGACAACTCCAGGCACCAGCTCCTGCCATAGGTAGCTGTCCCTTTGGCTAGATACAGACTCCATAAAAAGATGATACCCAAGCGCTTGCCCTGGGAATGGGCCAAGAGAGGTGATAAGCAGGGGTAGAAACTGGTACAGGAACCCTAAGGAGAGCTGGGCCTTGATCCATTCAGCAAACAGTAGAGGAACATTAGGCATTACTGCAGCCCACACAGTTCCCAATATCCCAACACATAGGAGGTGAGGGGGAGAGGGCTGCTGTCTTTGCCCTCTGCAGCAGCTGGTGCATGCTCTGTAAGTATCTGTTGGTAAACAGGGAGAAGAGATAAGGCCAGGAGACGGACCTACAGTGTGCAAGGTATGAAGGTCCAACAAGCCACTGTTTCGGCCCTTTAGTGGTTTGCCATGGTGTTCTGGCCTAGTGGGATCAGCCCTGCCTGCTGTCAGTTCTACCCTGAGTCCACAAAGACTAGATTGGGTCTTCCCACTATTGTCCCTACCACTGGTTGTAATTTTATACTCATTTGTAGGATTTAACTCTCTCTTCCCAACATGAACTTGTCTGAAGGCTGGGATCATGTCTGTGTTGTTTGCTGCTGTGTTTCTGGGGCCAGGAACATAGGTGCTTCATAGCTGGTTTTGACTGAGTGAACTGATCACGGCCTCTTCTATGCATTCCAGATATGTAACTGGTTCATCAACGCCCGGCGGCGCCTTCTCCCAGACATGCTTCGGAAGGATGGCAAAGACCCCAATCAGTTCACCATCTCTCGCCGCGGGGGTAAGGCCTCAGATGTGGCCCTCCCCCGAGGCAGCAGCCCCTCGGTGCTGGCTGTGTCCGTACCAGCCCCCACCAGTGTGCTGTCTTTGTCCGTGTGCTCCATGCCACTCCACTCAGGCCAGGGGGAAAAGCCAGCGGCCCCCCTCCCACAAGGGGAGCCGGAGCCTCCAAAGCCCTTGGTGACCCCTGGCAACACACTCACCCTCCTGACCAGAGCTGAAGCTGGAAGCCCCACAGGTGGACTCTTCAACACGCCACCGCCCACACCCCCAGAGCAGGACAAGGAAGACTTCAGTAGCTTCCAGCTGCTGGTGGAGGTGGCGCTACAGAGGGCTGCTGAGATGGAGCTTCAGAAGCAGCAGGACCCATCGCCCCCCTTACTGCACACTCCTATCCCCTTAGTCTCCGAAAACCCCAAGTAGGCATCTGCCAAGAAGGGTGCTCGAGGCTCGAGCCAGCTGTCTGGGGTCTCCATTTTGGTTCCCTTTCATACAGAGGGCTTTCTTTGGATCACTGCCAAACATCGGGGTCATCTCCTCTGTCCAGAGGTCTTCAGCAGGAAGATGCCAGCTGGTGTCACTGCACTGTGACGGGGACCTCTCTGCTAACTGCCGTTTCTCCAGGCCTCCTCAGTGATGAGATTGAGATCGGAGATAGGCATGGTGCTGCTGCTGCTTCTCCAGAGGATTCCCAGGACACCTTTGTTCCAGCCTGCTTTCCTAGGCTGGGCACAGGAAACCTGCCACATTCAAACCTATGCCCCACAGCTGGGCCTCTTCGTTAAGCCAAGCGTGGACAGTCCAAGTTCGTAAGTGTGAACAAAAGACAAGAGGAACCCAGCAGATGTAACAGAACTGACTCCAGTTGAATGTTTAGGTTTTCACTAAACTGTTTATTTTTCCCTTTTTGCTGGGGTTTGCATTAATGGGAGTAGTTAGGTGTGGGGAGTGAGAGTGTGTTGCGTGAGGGAATCTGATGAACTGGGAATTCTGCACCACTGCAACTGGTGAGTGTTTTACAAGGAAGGAGTATTTTTATTTTGGGGACCAGCTAAATCTCTACAAAATTCCAAATGGTTGTTTTATTGTTGGTTTGATTTACAAAAAAAAAAAACAAAAAACTTTTTGAGCTTTGGCTTTTCTGCATCAGGCACAGAAGGGAACAAAGCCTTCTTAAGAATAGAGAGGGTCCAACACAGAATCTGACCAAACCTTCTAAGCGCAGAGCAGAGAAGGATAAAACCAGAGAGGTGGTTTTTGGTTTGGTTTGTTCGTTTTTTTTTGTTTTGTTTTTTTTAATTTTTGTTTTTACTATGTTTTGGGGGACAGGGGAAGTAAGTTAGACCAAGGCAGTGGGTTTTTTGTTTTTTTTTTTTCCTCCCCTCTCTTTAATGTTTTCCTCTCTTTATCCTTGAAAGCTTGGCCCTGCAGCCTGAGTTTTGAATTCTTTTAAGAACTTGGATTAGTGGGGCCAGAATGTCAAAGCTGCCAGTAGCTCCTACTTGGAGAGAAGTGAGCCACCTACTGGTCAGGAAGCCCTTGTAGCTGACTCAGATGGGCAGTTTTTCCCACGATGGTGGCAAGAACCTATTCCTGGAAGGAGCAGGGAACATGCCCCCAGCTGCTGAGGAGCTGCCTTCTACGGAGGCTGGGGCTGGAAATCTGTTAGGAAGCCTGTCCGCTGTGTCTTTGTGTTGCACCTTTCTCTAAATTGGAGTTGCAGAGGCCTCTGCCCTGAACTTCACAGTGAAATAGATCACAGTTGGTCTTACTCTTCTCCCTCCTCCCCATTTTTTATTTTGCTGTCTTATTGCTAACAGCATTCGACAGCAATACACCCCATCTTTATATATCCTAAGAAACACTAATCCTAGGTTACTATTAGCCAAAATATTTTTGTTCTGAAAGCATTGTTACTGGGCCAAAAGACAGGTCAGGAGCCCCCTGCCTGTAGTTTCCTGAAGTTGCCAAGTCAGGCACAAGGGGGAGATTCCTGGGGGTTGACTGACATGGGTGGGCCTGGCCGGGAGAAAGGCAGCAACGTGTGTTCTGTCCTTTCTGGGATGATCCCTGAAGACCTCAGGGAGGCTACCTGACTTCTCAGTGGCTTGGCCTACCCACTGCTGTGGGAATGGGGATTAGCTTTTTAAGGAGTTGGAGCTTTGCTCTCTGTGAGTGGGCAAGTTTCCTAGGCTCTCTCTTTTGCCACCCCGCCCCATCCTTGCATGTCCCAGGGGGATCAGGGATCCTCACCCTCCTGAGGCCCAGCTGGGGAAGAAAGAACATAACAGCTTCAAGATTAGTTGAAGTTGCTGTTTGCCCAGCCTGTTCCACCCCACCCATGTCTGTGAGCCCAGGTCTGGTATACTGTTGGAAGATGCTTATAGCAAGAGACCCTGGAAGTGTATGGGGTGGGGTGGGACTTTTCCTTACCACGGTGCACTGAGCAGTAGAGGTGGTGAGGGGTGAGGAGCCATGCTGCTGAATTTTGGTTGGCATTCCCCCCCTCGTGCAAGATGGGGAGGCTGGGGGTGGTGCAGCCTCCACTTGGTTTGGTTGTGAGATAAACCTGGAGGAGAAGCACAGTTATCCCGTTGAATTATTTGAGCAAAAAAACTACTGTAAATAACTTTTGTTTTTGTCTTTCGTCAAATAAAGTTGTTTTTGGTTTTTGTTTTGTTTTTTAAAGCAGAAACAGATTGACCCACAGTGACCCTGTACCCCATCTGGAGGTGGGGCAGTTGCTGAGTTCTTACAGGGCTTTATCATTTCCCCCCTCTAGCAGCCACCTGTCAGGGTTGGGCGCCCTGCATCCTTATTCATTGTCCTCAACCCTGGCCCATATCCCTTTCATCACAGTGGGCAGGGGGCATATGCCTCCCATGCTGCACCAGTCTTCCCTGGGATAAACAGTCAAGCTTTGGGGTTGCTGAGTAGTGAGGAAACTTAGGGAGCTAGCAACTTTATCCTCCCCCTCAACCAGTGAGGGGTTGGACTGCAGTATGAAGCCAGCACAGAAAGCAGCAGAGATGAAATGGATGCTTCAGTCATGTCTGAAACTGGTACCACCTCTAGACTTCCCTATTATGTAAGCTAGTAAATTTCCCTTTTTTGCTTAAGATAGCTGTGAGTTTCATTTACTTCTTAATGAAATGACTATACATTTCATTGCAGCCCAAACAGTACAAAGTCAAGGCCTGCAGCAGTAAACGGCCTTGCTATGTGCCTGGACCTGTGCAGTGTTCATTATTAAATTTTGTATACACACAAAAGAAGTGAGATGCCCTTCTCATAGGTGAAGAAACTGAGCGTTTGTTAAATTCATTGGCCTGCACTGTACAGCCAGTATTAAATGGAGCTAGGATATGAATTGAAGTCTTCTTGCTTGAAGGTCACCCTGACATCTGCCTGGACCTTATTTGAACTAGTGATGGGCAGTTCACTGCCTACTGGCATTCAGTTAACATGGTTTGGGCTAAACAGTAGAAATTTCTTCTACTGAACCAAATCGGCTTCTTCCTGATTCCAGTAGACCTAGATGGAGGATATCCAATCTCCCACAAGTCACTCTCGTGTAGAAATTGGGAGTCAGGGGCGCCTAGGTGGCTCAGTTGGTTAAGCGACTGCCTTCGGCTCAGGTCATGATCCTGGAGTCCCAGGATCAAGTGCCGCATCGGGCTCCCTGCTCAACAGGGAGTCTGCTTCTCCCTCTGACCCTCTTCCCTCTCGTGCTGTCTCTCATTCTCTCTCTCTCAAATAAATAAATAAAATCTTTAAAAAAAAAAAAATTGGGAGTCAATGCCTCCCCATTCACATTCCCCAGATTAAAGAGCTCCAGTTGGAGAGAGTTTAGCCATTCATCCAAGGTCCTGGTTTCCACTTCCCTCTATCAGTAGCCCTCAAACTGGACACTTGGCCCTAGGGCTCAGCAGAATAGCAACATGCTGGAAGGGGTCTTCAAAATAAGTTCAATACTCATTTTCATCTGGAAAATGAGTATTAATATTACCCTAAAAGGGGAAGTGATTTGGATGGTTTGACTGCCTTAGAAGAGATGGCTTCCTATAAATACTTTTCAAAGAACTGAAACCAAAAGCATCTTCTGCATCAAGCTTCAAATTGATGAAGCCCAGAGTAAGCAAGCACTTTAGATAAAGTTGACAGGGATAATGTGGCTAGAGCCCCTCTCCTCTGAAGTTAGAAATACCATCTAAGGACATCTACCTTTCCTCTAACAGTCCCGTTTAGGAAACAGCATTTAAATGCACTGGCTTAAAATTAAGTAATAAACACATTGGCTGGCTCAGTTAGTAGAGCATGTGACTCTTGATCTTGGGGTCGTGAGTTTGAGCCCCATGTGGGGTGTAGAGATGACTTCAAAAAATAAAATCTTAAAAAAAAAAAAAAAAAAAACCTCTAGGGTTGGACTTGACTCCGGATTTAAAAAGTACACTCTAGGGGCGCCTGGCTGGCTCAGTCAGTGGAGCATACAACTCTTGATCTCAGGGTCATGAGCTCTAGCCCCATGTTGGGGGTAGAGATTACTAAAATAACAATAAAAAAAAGAAAACTACATTCTAGTTTAGAAACTGCTAATGGGAAAAACTCCCAGAGGGGAGGGCCTTTGCCTGTCTTGGTGTGCTGTAACATTGGTATGTTAGCCACTGTAACTGTAGAGAAGGGAACTCAGGGGAATGTGGAAATAATAATTATCAATGCTCTCAATGCTACTGGTTTCCAAAGCACTTCTTTATAATCTAAGCCTGCATTTAGATTCTGGCTCTGTCGTCTAATTAGGTGTCATGATCATAGGCAAGTCAATTTACCACTCCAAACTTTAGTCTCCTCATCAATAAAATGGGTATAGTAATATTCACCTCTTAGGAGGATGAAATAGGACACTCCACGTTACTGTTGTTATATATTGCTATTATCTGGCCTCCCAGCACAGGGCTGGGAGTAAAACAGGGCTGTGAAAATAACTTGCCCCATACCACACAGCTGTTAAGTGGCAGAACTGGAAGGAATTACCCAGAGTAGTTCTCAAGCCTTAATATGTATCAAAGTCATCAGGAGAGCTTACAAAAATGCAAATTCCCAGACCTCACCCCCAGGGAGTCCAGGAATCTACACTCTTCACTTATGCCACAGGAGATTCTCTTGCTATTACTCCAGGGACCTGATCATTTATGATCAGGACACTGACTTATCCCAAGGAAGCTGCTAGGTTAAGACAGCACCTTATCTTTCAAAGTTTTAAGGTAAGAGGAAGAAGGGTACCACCAAGTAGTTTACCCCTCCCCCTGCCAAACCATTTGACTTCCCCAGCTCCCAGGAGTCTATTGTGGCCTGAAGGTCAAGTGTAACCTTCCTGAGATGGTCATTTTAATTACATAAATAATCCACCTTTACTATAGAAAATTTTAAAGGTAAAAGAGAGTTCAGTATAGTGGTTGAGAGCCCAGCCAACTTTTGGAGGAAAACATGTAAAACATTTAGCAAAGTTGGCACCCAGTAAGAACCCAGTAAGTACTAGTAAAACATTTATCTTAGGCAAAAAGAGGGCCTGGATACAAACTCAGACCTCTACTTCACAATGGGTGCTCTTTCCACAGCTTGTGGTTTTTTTCCCCATGGGACTCTGATTTCTGTGACTCCCTCTGTGTCTGTCCAGGGCCCCCAATCTTACCCCTTGAGCACACTTTCCTCTCCAAGCCCTCCTATAAGCAGCTGGCAGTGGCACAGAGGCCTTCAGCGGAGAGGACATACTCAGTCCCAAGGCTGAGATGGTGTGTTTAACTGGTGCTTAAAAGGTCCCAACCTCAAAAAGGCAAAATCTGTCCTACTTCCAAATCTCTCTCCCACTTCCAAATCTGACTCTTCATCAAGTTCTTCTCCATCTTAGACCACCCAGGATGTTTATTTTAACCAGATGGATGCACTGGGATTCAGCCAGACTCCCCACTTCCTAAGATAAGGAAAGCCTTGGGTGAAAGCACAAAGGGATTAAGTCTCAGCCCCATAAATACCCCTCAGGCAAGGGTTCTCCATGCTAACTCCCAGCTTGGCTTTGTCTGCTCCTAGAAAACTAAGAGGAGGAACACAGATCAGGTTTCCGATGCCTACTGAACCTCTAACTTGCTGTGTGACACTGAGCTGGACTGGATCTAAGGACTCATCTAAATATAACTTTCTGTGACACCCCCCCCCCACGTAATCACAAACAATGAATCTCAGAGTTAAGAGCTTCACAATATAATACTACATATAAAACTCTTCTTGCAAAAAATAAAATC